TGAAGTTTAGCCTCTTTCAGGCGTCAGAAAACTTCTTTCAAGTTTGCTAGATGAGATTCGAAATTCTCTCCTAGAATAATGATGTCATCTAGGATGCAAAAGCATGCGGATCCATATCTGGCCCAATTATTTGATCGATCAGTCGTTGAAAAGTGGCCGGAGCGTAATGAAGGCCGAATGGCATAACTCGGAACTGGAATAATCCTCGGCCTGGTACGGTAAAAGCAGTTATCGGCTTGCTGCTGGCGGAAAGTGGCACTTGCCAATATCCACTTTTCAAGTCTAAGCTGGTAATAAACTTAGCAGACCTCAGTTTATCCAAAATGGCATTCATGTACGGCAGTGGATATGCATCTTTCATGGTGACTTCATTCACCTTCCGGAAATCAATGCAGAATCGGTGCTTACCATCTTTTTTCCTATCAATTACCACTGGTGAACTCTAAGGACTTTTTGAGGGCTCTATTATTCCTTCGTCCAACATTTTGTCTACTTCTTCGTTAATGACCTCTTGCATTTTCGGATTTTGTGGTCGGTATCTTTGTTTGATCGGTTCTTTTTTAATTAGCCGTATCTCATGTTCTACGAGGTCAGTCGGTCCACGAATGTCGTGAAAGGCAGGGAGTTCGGCTTGCAAGAATTCTTCCAGCATGTCGGATTGTTCTGGAGTCAGTGACAGATCAGTAAGGGGGGTGATAGTCTGTATCGGACAGTCTATCTCACAGGTCTGTCTTCCCTTACTGTGTTGCTTGGAGGTTTCAGTGAATTTGGCGACTTCGGTTTCATCTATAATTTTCTGGAGCAATACTGACTAAAAATCGTGTGACTTTCTACTTGTCGTTGGGGTTGCGGTCCGAATCGGAATGTTACGTGGAGTGGAATTCTCTGGACGCCAAATTTGTATGCTGTCCTCACTTATTACTACAGACTCTTTGTCTGGTGTCTTTTGAATCTCGGTTTGGCTTCTAGCGGGCGGATAGAAATCGTCGGGTTTACATACGGCATGAACTAGCGCTCGTACGGTCACGGTCTTTCCGTGGACGGGTTCTATGATTTTTGACGGCTCATTTGTAAGGTGGTGTACTGGCTCAATTTCCCCAATGGGGTGACAAACTACGGCTTCCTCAATAGGTGGCATCGGCGTCCCATCTATCAAAATCTGTCCAGTTCCTAGGTCCAGGCGGAACTTGTGCTTGCTTAGAATGTCCATTCCCAGCACTATATCGGCACTCAAGTTCGGAAAGTGGACTAATTCCTCGGAAATTCTCTTACAACCTAGTTTCATCGGCACCTGGTAAGTATCCTGGATGCGAATCAGGTTTCCATTGGCTAATCTGGCAGAAGTAGATACTGCTTTGAAAGAATGCCCTTTTTGGGAAAGATGTTCCGCTAGTCGGTTTCCAATGTAGGATTTTGAAGCTCAAGTGTCGAGGAGTGACTGAAAATTTTCACCTAGTATTTCCTGGGCTAGGTGTGGTCGGAGATCGTGTGCGGCTGCGATAACGGACTCTTGAGAGGCTAGTGTCGGTTGAAACTGCTGGCACCTCTCTTCCTTGCAGCTTATGACTCGTTTCCCGACTAGTTATAATTACAGTCCTTGGACAATACGCCTTCTTTTAGGCAGCGAAAACAGAATATCTTTACTGGATTGGTGCAATTGGTTCGTAGATGTCCCTTCTCACCACATCTCCAGCACAACACTTCTCCACGTGAGGTGGATGGTCGTGGTTCGAATCTTTGAGGGGGATTGCGGTCGGCGGGTACGGAAGCAGATGGGGAAACGGGTTTTGGGTCGGACGGCGGCGGATTAGCTTGATATAAATGGGATGAAGCAGGACGGGAATAACGTAGAGGTTCAGATGTCTTAAATCGGGTAGGTTCGGGGACTGGGTGTCGGAATGGCTTGGATTGTTGGGAATAACGGGGAGTGGTATTCCTCGGTACGGAACTCGTTGACGGTATGCTCTGTAACTCCTTTCTAAGCAGCTTGAACTCTCGGACCACTTGGCAAAAGGTGGTAAAATTGAAGTAATCCGTCTTTCGGATTTGCTGTCTGTATTCGGGGAACAAATTTCGGTATAGCCATGTTAGTTGTTGCTCATTACTCAGCTTTCCATGTCGTCGCATCAGTGTTTGCAACTCTGTTATGTAACTGGTTACAGATTCGTTCCTTCTCTGTAACCTTCGACTTATTTCTACCTCTAGGTCGATCTGGTAATTAACGGAGAAAAAGAATATTCGGAAATCTGATTCGAAGTCCTCCCAGTGGTTCCAAGAGGATCGGTTGTTTCTAAACCATAATGCTGGTTCTCCAGTCAGTAGTTCAGGCAAGCAGGGCAGTAGTCGGTCTTTGTCTATACCTCTAGCAGTGCAGATCTCGTCTAGTCTTTCTAGAAAAGCTGCGGGATCCTCGCGGTTGCCAAAGGTTACTTTTCAATCCTGAGTTTTTATTGGTTCAGGTGTAACGGCGGCTGGGGGTGTCATTGTGGTGCGGGGATTTTCACAGACTGTTACTGCTCGATTTGGACTCGAGTCTCGTTTGCGTAGAAAAGAAACAAGTCTACTACGTTTTTCGTCTACGGTACCGTCGACAGCTAGTTGCCTCCGATTTAATTCGGAAGTCAATTCGGGTTTTCTCAAATTATAGATCCAGCCTACTCGGAGTACTGTAGATCCTTGAACCTCTTTTGGTTCCTGTTGTACTACCTCTGGTTTTTCAGAGAATTCTGTTATCCAACCGGATTATATGTCGTTTCCCTCCGTGTCTAACAACCACAAGTTGTCTTCTTTTATTTCGGACATAAACTCAAAGAAGAAACGGACGCGAGCGAGTTTTCAGAAGGGGGTTGTTGATAGAAGAGAAACAAAAATTCTGCGAGATAGAGGAAGAGACCGGAAAGAGTAATAAAAAAAGGTAGTCGGGCGGCGTTGAAATTCTAGTACTGAGAAGAAAAAAATATTTTAACAAACTTTACTACTATACTACGGTTAGCGTACGACTGGGTTACTATGACAATTTCGGTTTGGGTGGCGGAAAATGGATAGCTCTGGTTTAAAGTGGAGCGGACTAGACAACGTTAAATGTGTACCGGGGTAAACAGGAGGAGAGAGAAAAAAAAAATAAAGCCAAGACGAGAAAAGAATCTGAAACGGCAGGGTTGGGGCAGTACCGGATTACCTATCGGAAAGTAACCAGGTCCCTGCTCGGGCGCCAAATTTGTAAGGGGTTTTCTCGCCTCAGAGAAAACGATTACTTACAAATGACGCCTGTTGACGGGACGGCTCTCGGGCGCCAGATTTTATGTGTGGTTTACTCCACAAACTTTGAAACGGCGCACACTGGGGCAGAATACCTTAAAAGTTGGTATTAATTTTTAGATGCCATGAATCGCGTATTAAAAGAATAAAATACATATGATATGTCTATATTTTGTAAATTAAACATAAAACATTAAATTTTAATTATTAACTGTCGTCAAAATCAGTAAGAAATGAGTCATCGTCTTCATTACTTTGATACTCTGTGACTGTGGGAGGCACTAACAGATCTAAAGCATCTTTTGGTATGTTTTTCAGTTTCTTTTTAGGTTCCTTTCTCTTACTTGTCAACAATGGGTCTGAACTCAATAAAAACAAATTAAAAATGTCTTCATTGGATTTTTCCCGGCAACATTTCCTGGAATATTGTTCGCGGTAATTTTTGAAATCTTGCGCCTCTTCAGTCAGTTGGCCAATTGGCAACAATGCACTAGATACTATATCTGCTCCGTGTATAAAAAACTTATGTAGTGTAGGAGGCATACAGTACCAGCCATACAAATTTACGAAGTGTCTGGCAGTATCATGTGTATATTCGCGGAATCGCTCGATGTTGATGGAGTGTCCACATGATACTACTATCATTATAATGTGCATTTTTTTTATTAGTTCTACATCTAATTTGGTTATTTCTGCAGAGACTTCTGGATTAGAAAAAACCGCCTGCCAGTGTTGCCGTCATTAGAGTTTCCAAATCCAGGCTTAGGGAAGTCCACGATTAGTCCAGTTTTTTTCCCTAAATTTGGATTGGATATTTTTTTTTGTTTCTGCAACTATTACCTTATCTTCACCTCTAGCTTGCCACTTTTTAATTGGGAGTTTATAGGAAATATGGAGGAGACACTCAAAAAAACGTATCCAACCATGTAGGACAGATATTCCAAATTGTAAGTTTTGTGTTGTTATTTCTCTATTAATCATTTTATCAATATCATTAAAATCTTTTGTCGTTGCTCCGCAAATGTAACACTTCTGTGTAGATGTTGTTTCTGTGAGAGCATTGCAAATCTTGCCATCTATCATTGCAAAAATCATATTGTGACTGACTGAAATAGATCTACTGTTTAAGTTTAATTTACTGTTCTGCAACTGCTGTATTTCAGTATCTACACGATTTTTTTCTGCGACAGAAACTTCTGATGATTCTTTTATGAACGCAATTTTTAGAGGTCTGCAGTATCTCGTAGAAGACGGGCGAGGATTCTGCCAAACTATTTTCGAGTTATTGCTATCTGGGTCACATACTAAACGAAGTGGAACGATAGAAGTTATAAATACAGATGAATCACTTGCTATGAATCCATGGAACGCCTGCTTATAGGAACTATGTCCTGAGCTGCCATCGGAACCCCACTTTGTCATCAACTGTAGTTTTTCTACTAGTTCGTTATTTAATGATGATATTACGCTCTCCTGCACACTTATTAAACGTTCCACAGTATGATTAAGAAGGTCCTGTAACGAGACTTCCGCGAAGGTCTCACTTACTTTAATATTATTTGGGTAACATTTTTTTTCTCGGCTTGTAATATTTTATATGAAGGAAATCTGTCCGGACTAGACTGTTTTATCAAGCTATATTGGTACCTAGACAACTTAGCGTCTACTAGTAAAGCCAGGGCAGGGCATCTTCACCAGACATCTTACGTGGCTCTTTCTCAATTGAAGTTTTGTAGGCTTTTCTATATTTGCTCGCACGTTTCGGAGATGTTGAAGTTATATCTTTTAATAATTTGGAAGCCTCTGCTGTCTTCAAAAGGAACTGTTGGACGTCCTCTCATAATCGAGATAGACTGCGTGTAGCGGGTGAAAGATATTAACGTGTCGAGCCAGTTATCATATTTCTTAAGAAACCTATTCCTAGATCTACCTACATTCAACCATCTAGACTTAAATTCTAATTTAAAGTGGTATATTTTGCTGTTTATATCCTTCAAATCTGTATCAGGACAGCCTGTGCGTTCTTTAAGATAACTTGTTATAAACTTGAATTGGTCGTCAATTTTACTCTGACAAGAATTTGTTAAGATGTCGTATAGTTCCCTTCTTGATATTGCTATAGAGCTATAACTAGGCCCTGAAATAAATAAGCATCAAGTAATTAAAATCCTCATAACTAAAATAACACTATTTTCGCCAAGAAATCGCCATTGTAATATTTCATAAAAATATTTGTGTTTCTCAGAAGCATATAGATGTATAGTTGTGTATTAAGGCATATTGAGTTATTTTATGTTTATGAATAAAATATTTTATTATTGTGCCTCTGCGGCATGTTTTCCAAATTTTGCGTTTTTTGATGATTTTGGTTTAAAGATATTTTTTTTTAGGAAAAATCGCAAAAAATCGCAAGAAATTTGAACGTGCCCCAGTTGTACAATCACAAAACATTTTATTTTTTTGTTTGTGCTCTTAGTAATGGTGGAAAGGATTTCACTGTCATTGCGACACTTTTAAAAAATACATCTATTTCATCTTCGGGTGGTGCAGGCGGGTATAGGAGTTATCATTGTTAGTTGCTGTAATAAATTTTCCCTTTCTGCGGTACTCTGTTTAATTGCTGTTAGGATATCAGAGGAACGATCTTTCTTTCTCTTTTTCAGTGAAGGCTCTGTATCAGTATCACCAGAATTTACATTTAAAGGTACTACTATTTGTTCAGATACAATAGCAGTATTTGTATCAAGAGATTCGACAGTTTCACTGTCATTTACAAGCTCCTGACTCTCAATAATTTCTGTATTCTCATTATTTGTTAGTAATCTAAAATAGAAATATTTAGAAGAAGTTTCATATTGTTAGAAAATATTATTACCGCCTTTCGTGTTCCACCGAGTCTAAAAAACCCAACTGGTCCAAAATTGGATTTCTTTTACACTTTCCAGAAGCAGCACTTCCATTTGTTTTTGCAGACTGTTTCTTTTGTTTATAAAAGTTATTGCGAATGTTTTTCAATCTATTTTTACACAACCCAGATAAAATATAAATTTGTTAATATTACAGTTCCATATATCAATTACATACATATTTAAAATAATTTTTTTACAGATTCATAGCAACTGGGAAGTCATACAGATCGTTATAATTTGCTTTCCGAATAAGTCACAATTACATAAGTGTATTTGTGTCATTAGTCTTGAAAAACATGTATGACAAGCTACAGCCAATGTTTCTTCCCCCTTCCGTGGAAGTCAACTTTACAGAAAAAGCAAAAGAATTGGTACTGAAATATGTTATAATTCATCAGTGGACTAGATACTTCATATACTGGGTGTCGGTGATTCCCATACTTTACATGAATATAATGATGAAGGAGGTTCCAGGAATACTGACTGAGAAAAAGAATGCACTTCTTTCAAAAATACTCGAATTCTGTCAGCCAAAAAAAGACATTTTTTTTGTTTGTTTAATAGATATGAAAATATTTTTTTTTCCAATTTAAAAAAAAACTAAACTCTAATATAAATATATACATAAAAAACGGGTGGCCTCACCTCGTTATGATGGTATGATGGGAGGGCAGGTAGTGTTAGACGAAACCATCGAGACTTATGAAAGAAAGATAGCCAGTAATTCTGGTGACGAATTGAGTGCGGTGGCCGAAGGGTTTGAGCCCGGGCATCAATTCCGGAGATATGTGGGCGGAAGCAGGTCTCTCGTTCGCCGAAAGGAGGGCATGAGCCAGCTCCTCTTTCAGCATCCAGGCGGCATATCCTGAGGCACGCAGCGGGGATGGAGAAAATGTATGAGTCAGTTCCATCAGTTGCCCACAGTTCGAGAAATTTTGTGTGATTATGTTTCTTTTACCCTGCCAAAAATAATAAACCGATAAAAGCAAAAAGTTCAGTTTTTGTAAGATCTTTGGCATCTCGTGGTCGATCATAATGTGGTCGTATTTTTAGAATTTTCACATTTGTACATTCAATAATATTTTGGATAATATCGTCAGTAAAAATAAGTTCCAATGCACTTTTTTCATCGGCGATATTTCTTGCACACGCTTTTGGACCAGGAAATATTTTGCTATATTTACTTGCATTATGTGTTTTTCTCCATCGTGTTTTCTTATCTTTAGCCAAATACCATTCTTCTGCAGATTCAACATTGAATTGGTAGTTTCTTCCTCATCGCCTTCGCTAAATTTTTCTGATGTTTCTGCTTCCCCACCTACTTCCTCTTCAGATTCTTCATCAAACATCGCTTGCATCTCATCTTCAGTAAAACTTCGGATTTTTAATTTTTACTTGATCCTACAAAAAAGATAAAACCAAAACATAATGCGATCTGGACATGGTAACATCAATAAATAATATATTATACAGAAAATTAAATTTGCTAAAAGAAAATCGGCAAACCCGCCTTTATATTAGAAATTAGAATTGTACACCACTAAATTTCAGTAAAATCGCATGACCAGAAAGAGTTTGATTTGAAATACCTTACAATCAGTCGATCTTGGCGTTACTTTCCCTATATCACTTTACCTAATATACACTTTGTATATATTTTCAAGAATAATATATATTAATGTTAAAATGCAATTGAGAACCGGGTATTTTTAAATAATAAACTAAGAAATAAATACAAACGTTTTATTCGCAAGACGAAACTCAAATTAATAATCCATTGTCACAGAATCTTATCATAAAAACCCTCTCTGAATAATGGTTGATTCATCACTTCGATAACTGGCCTGGTTGACGAATTGATTTTCTTCGAACGACCCGCATAGCCGTGCGATTTCATGTGACGCAGGGTACGAAATGTTAACATTAAGATAAGCGATAACTATTACAAAACAGCTGACATTACACCAAAAAAATAAATAATACAAAACATTCAAAGTATACTTACATAATTCACGCGTGGTGTATTTTAGGCATCACTCGGAATTATCAAAATTTGCGTACACAGCGATCTTGTCGTTACAGCTGCTACAGCGATACTAAAGCCGTGATGGCCCCAATACATTTTTCATAAGGTCAGTTGACCTTGTACGCCTTGCTGCTATTTTTTTTGCTATTTCGGAATCGTCAAAAATATTTCCCATTAAAGGACACAAGACATCCATTAATAAGAAAGGAAGATTGTTTGTTGCTAATAAAGAGCACAATTTTAATTCCGCTCTTGCAATTTTATTTTCATTGTTCTTCTTCTGTGTAACTTGTGTAATAGTGTAATTGTTTGAAATTTGTCTTAAATTATATTTATGTTTTTCACTTTTACTGTGTTTAATTATTGTTGTTTTGTGTGCACTTATATTTACACTAGAAATTTTACAATATGCCAAATCACTTCCACTTTTAGGATCTATCGTTTTTGATTTATTTAACCATCCTTTGCACTGCGGTAATTCTTCCCATAATTTACAGTACTTGGATTTTTTAAATCTGCCTTTTTGTAATTTTTAATGGCACTGTTTTCAATATTATCTTCAGTTGAATCCTAAAACATGATAGATTTTCTGTAATAACAGTTTATAGTTTTATACCCATGTATTTACCACTTGCACTTTTTCCTTTAAGCAAAAAGCCATATTTCAGATATTATATGTACCATACAACATACAATTATTAATCAAAATGGAGGAAGAATTGAAGAATACAGGAATTATTTGAATTTTTAATTTTTGTAATTTTTTAACCTTTATTTTTGGGTTATGTTGTTCTTCTTTCTATTCTTATTCTTAAATGTTACATGAGATTAAAAGTAGAAGAATAATAATCGAAATACGAAATCGAAATCAATTTCAACGAAACCTATGAACGAATCATACATCGATTTTAAAATGTATAGATAAATCGATTATTGAGAGGTTGCCATCTCGCATGATGTCGTAAAGGTACTTCATCGCCCGGGTCCCGGTTCAGTTAACCAGCTTTTTAAAATTTGGAATGGTTAATACAGATGTTACGAAATTATCCCCTTTTTATCCTCGATCCTCATTAAGATCCTCCAAGCTTCAAATTATCCTCAAATCGGATAATAATATTTTGAATCATTATTCAATATTTTAAATATTAATTTGGATATATCGCTCAAAGGTGCAGTAGTGGCACATCTCTAAAAATTGCCACTTTTAGTTAATTGTACCACAAACCTCGCAATTTTTTGTTGTACCAACCAACAATAGTGGCATATGTTTTTCTTACTCTGGTACCGCTAGATGGAACTTGTGCCACTATTGAATATCACGCTTTTGTTAACGGTGACGCGGCAATACCGGCACAGAAACGCAATGTGACAATTCTAAAGTGAAGAACTTAAAAAGACTTAACAGTGGCATATTTTAAACAGTACGCTAAGGTAAGTTGAATATTATAATTTTAGTGAAATAATAGTGGCATATTTAAAGGTATGTTAAAATGTTATTATGAATTCTACTTTTATTGGATCAATGTAAATTGTACCAGTATTGCATATTTAGTTAGTGGTATTTTTAAAATGTGCCCTTATTTCTTGTTAAAAGAGTTGCGTTAGAGTCATTTAATTAAGTTACATTTTATAATGGGCCACTGTTGTTTTTTAAATATTGCACTTTATTCATGTGTGTAAAAAAATCAATAACAGCACAACTAATTGTTTTTTCCAAAAATTAAGTTAGAAAAAGACGTTCTGTTAAAAAAGTAGTAACAATACAATTTGATACCTAATTTAAACCCATATCAATATCAAACTTTCAACTAAGTAAAAGTGTTGGCATAGAATATATAAATCTTTTAAATAAATTTTACAAATCGGTGATTTTCTCAAAACTAATAATTTTGTGATGTGCCACTATTGCACCCAGTGAGCGATATGTTCTTAGTAACATTTTCATAAGAAATAGACTTGATAACAAGTCTATTTAGTTTGAACTATTTCATTTAATATTCCTCTTAAACGTTTGAACCATAATGTCTCAGACTACTTTTAATAAAGAATGTAGACACATATCAATTATTTTGCTTTTCTTTTTGTGGAAATATATGTTTTTGTCCTGTGTATGGATTCTAGAATTGTTAGTATTATTAACAAGTTCTTGTTTGTAACAATATGGCCTTTTGTGAAAAATATCTGCATAAATGAGTTTTGAATTATTCTCCAAATGCAACAATATTTTCCCAGTTAATAAGTTTATATACTACAGGGTGAATCCTAAGTTGATACTCTGTATAGAAGCAATTAAAATAAACAACTTTTTCAAAATACTTTAAAAAATCTTAAATTAAGATGTACGCAATACGGTCCTGTAAATAAAGTGTTCAGAATTTTTACCATTTTCTGAAGTGTTGAAGCACAATGTAAACCGTTCACTGTTCATTCTTTAAGGACTTTAATGCATATGCATTGTTTTCATTATTTTCATATAAACATTCTCGTGAACATTCAAGTAAATTACATTGACCATTATGGGATAAAAGCCTAACAAAACAGGTATAAAGATAAAAACGTAATCATTTAGCTTAATGTTCGATATATAAATCCAGGCTCTGATTTATATTTTTTGTTTTAACAAAAAAGTTTGTTTTAACGACTCAAAGAGCGAGTTGTGATAAGGTTAGATACAGTTTACAGTTAGATTTACGATAAATTATTGTTTGGTGTTTCGGCCTTCACCTCTCTCGGAGCTTCTTGGGGAAGGTGGGCATAAGTTGCCCTGTGCGTCCTCCTAGGATTCCGAGATAGCGTGGAGGTCGGCAACATAAAGTTTCTTTTGACTGTTAACCAGCGGTGATCTGGCATCGAAATGTTATCAGACACTTGCCAATTTAGAATTGAATCATAGATACCAGTTGTTTGACTGCTAGAGTTTAAAAATGTTGGTGTAATACCTTTATTTAAAATAAAAAGATTTTTTGTAATTATATAATCATAAAGTGGCCTACTTCTAGCGTTGTTATCCTTACTGTTATCCAACTGAAGTGATAAGCATTTGAGTCGCAACCTATTATCAAACTGCTGATCCGGGCAGTATTCAATCAGATCATCCATCTCTTTACTGGATGGTGTCGGGGTTGCGTCGGAGGAGGTATGCAGATGGCAGGACCAACGTTTCCTTTTCCCTTTTAATGGCAAATTCCATCCTATCCTCAGTTAAATCGGAGGTAGAAAGATGCGCCATTGAGTGAGATGTGAATTTCCTAGGAATGTAAATGGCTGTCTAGGTTGTTGGTTGCTGGGAAAGCTAAAAATTTAGATTTTTTAAGAACTAAAATTTTGGTTTTTATTATCCAGGGTTCCTGGATGAGGGCTATTGTATCTTGCAGCTCATTAAAGCGATGGCATAATGTTGCGGTAGCCACCCTTTTGTGCTGCAAGTTAAATTGTATGATTCTTACCTCTTTAATTGCTTCCTGGTCTTCCTTTGAAGTTTGGGCAGCAAGGTGGTTATTTACTCGACCATTCTTTCCTCCGAAAGTAAAGAGGGGATGCTCTGTATCTTCTCGGAGTTTTCTTGCTGTAGGTCATCGGTTGCTATTTTTTCAGCCTCTTTTTTGACCTTTGGCCTTATATTCAACGAGGCGAAACGCATAGCTCGCCCTTATTGATTTGACCTTCAGGTTACAGTTACACGGCTCCTTTAATTTTCTTACTTCTCTTTCTATATTATAATTCCATTAGCCGTTGATCTTCCTTTTTCTAAATACATTTCCCCTTTTCACGCTTCACTTTCTTTTTATTTTTTTCATTCTGTTACGTTAAATAAAACTTACCAATCCCAAATTAATTAACTTTTATTCAAAATAGAAATACAACATTACCGCCAGTACTGAAAAATTTATCAATTTCAGGCCCAATATTTCATGAGTACTCGTCGAATCAGACTGACTCCCGTCTCCCTACCCAATCTCATTTATACCGTGAAACCTTCTAGGAGAGTCTACCATTAAAATATAAGAGTTACCATTAACGTTTTTCACAAATTGGCCCAAATGATCGATGCTTATCGTATCATATGGTACCGGTCGACGGCTCAATTGGATGTAGCAACCCTTCAACTAAACTGTACTGACCTTTCGCAAATCCACACCTCAAACTTGACTGGACATATTTAGACACAAACCGCCGCATATTAGCAAACCAACAGGTCTCTGTTATTAAAATTAGACACCTTTCGAAGGCCAACTGACTTGTCATCATATGTGTTGTCATCATATCATGATGCTTCCTAAGAATACTAAATCTAGTCATAACTAGTACATACAACCAATCTCCATGTGGAGTTATACAATAAAGTCTCCCATGTTTCACCTTGGTCTCTTTTTCCACGTTTTCTGATGCCATTAGTCTCCTTATTTCTTGCGCCTTGGGATCCTGCAGCTGCACCGTTAAAATCCAATCATTTTAACATTTTAACGATATTTACACAAACTTTCTTAACAGGTGGGTTTCTACTTAAGTCATCAACATGCTGTATACTCCTGAATCGCCAACCACCATCGAGCTATTCTAGGAAATAAGTCTCTTTTAAGTAACGCCTCTGTAACTGGTACACAGTCAGTCACCACCTTAAAACGTTTTGCAACTGGATACACCGTAAAACAGATGCAACTACAGCCAACGTTTCAAGCTCATAACTGTGATCCACCAGCTCCTTCACCGTGGTAGCCCCACTAAAATATTCGACGAGTCTCAATTTGTCATCTACCCCTTTCTGCAAGAGAATACCTGACAATCCCAGCTTACTAGCTTCAGTATGCAGTTCTGTATTTGCTTGATTTACGTACAATGCTAACACAGGCCTATTCGCCAGATAATCCTTAAGTAAAGTATACAGATGCTTCTGTACTAGTTCTTATTTTAATTTCGCTTTTAGATGCTATATAATAAATATCATTATCAAACAGGCCCAAAACATAATCTATGTGTAAAAAACATAGTCCTATAATAAGTGTTTATATTTGAGGTATTATAAAATACCTATTTACAAAAATGTCTAGAGTAGCGTTATAACATACAACTAAATTAAGAGACTATGTAATCTAGTACAAAATACTTACTTGACTTATACTGTTTTTCTAATTTAATTAATTGTTTCTTATTTTCAGATTCTTTTAGGATCTTCGCTACGTAAAATGTTTTATGTTTTTTCCAGTATACAGATGCTTCTGTACTAGTTCTATTTTTAATTTTGCTTTTAGATGCTATATAATAAATATTACTATCAAACCGGACCAAACCATAATCCATGTCTAATAAACAGTCCTATAATAAGTGTTTGTATTTGAGGTATTATAAAATACCTATTGTCAAAAATATCTAGAGTAGCGTTATAACATACAACTAAATTAAGAGGCTATGTAATCTAGTACAAAATACTTACTTGACTCATACTGTTTTGTTAATTTTATTAATTGCTTCTTATTTTCAGATTCTTTTAGGATTTTCGCTATGTGAAATGTTTTATGTTTTTTCCAGTATACAGTTGCTTCTGTTCTATTTTTAATTTCGCTTTTAGATGCTATATAATAAATACCATCATCAAACAGGACCAAAGCATATTCCGTGTCTAAAAACACAGTCTTATAATAAGTGTTTGTATTTGAGGTAATAAAAAATACCTTTTGAACCGGGAAGCGAAGTAGGATACAGGTTTTCTGCAATAAAGATCACAAATCAGGAGATATGCGTTAAACATTATCTGTTGGTATGCGATTAGTGTAAATGTACTAGTGAATGGATGGCTTTTTACAGTTAAATCAGGGTATGTCTCAGCTGTCGTATACATGATGTATTGTAATGGAAATCTTAAGTCTAGTTCCATTCTAACAGCTACGTCGAGTTTTTCGAAGTAGGTTGATTTGGACTTTGGTGTCGGAGCTTCAGGAGCTGGGGTCACAGGTGTAAGTTTCTTAGCGATCTCTGAGAGTAAAGATTTATTCTTAATAAAGAAGGTCGCTTCAGTTGAGTGCTTATCACAGACAACTAATCGTCAATGTGTTTCAGCTCGTATCGAGTTGTACCATCTGAATCATACCTGAGTTGTCTCATATAGTTCCAGAACTAATGTGAGGGTAATTTTGGAGAGAACTAAAGTCTTTGAAGAACTGGTGTTTTAAATACTTAACTTTATGCTGAGATGGGTTTTTATTATTGCTTTTTTGATATGCCACTCAATAGTGGCGTACCCAGTAAACTGAGAGAACCCAGCTTTGATTTTTCATTAGTGTAACCATTTCCGTGTTGTTTTGTTTTCTTTTCTTTTTGCTTTTTCCTGCTCCCACTTTTTAGTTTCAACATGCCTTATTTACGCCGCTGTCAATTTGTTTTCGCAGGTTTATTTTCCAATTATGTTTCAATTGTGTTGTCGTGTTGCTCGAGATTATTATTTTATTCCAAGAAATCTTCATCAGATGAGCTAGAACCGGGTTCCCGGTTTAGGTCTTTTTGCTTTTTCTGCTTCTTGGTTGTCTTCTTGGAACCCTTGGAACCCTTCGTTGCGACACTGAATCTTATTAGGAGATAGTAATGTCACTGACAAGAGGTCCGTCTTCAAGTCCATTTTCAGTACACAATATATTACTTTTCTCTTTGTTGCTATAATTAGCAATAATCACAGGGATATTTATAAATCAAAGTCTACTTGACAAGTGGTTGGGTAGTTTCGCAAATTTATTCATGATGGTCCTCTAGTATCACGCGAAGGCCCGTAATATCGTTTTCATAATTACCACTCTCAGGAATACTACATTTATTTGATTCACCTGATTTCTGCTACCAGTCATCTCAAGTAATTTAAGAGTTCTTGCAGACATATTGGCGTGATGGGTAAGCTTTAAGATGTGAAATTAAACAGAAAGAGATATAATATTATCAGATAATTCTTGCCTTAAAAAAAATGTGATAATATTCTCACCGAAAAATAAAGACTTTCATTGACAAATTTTAATCATTTTTTTTTGTATAATCTCTTAAATCACGAATTTTGTGGTGCATTTTTTAAGTATATTTTTTAGTTTCATACCATAACAGCTAAGAAAATGCTTAAAGTTTTCATTATTTATCCAAATAATATAAAAACCTAAGCCGATAATATATTAGGGCATTTTTAACTAAGACGAGGCAAGCAAAAAAATAACAAAAAGTCCAGACGCGATTCACATTTCAATAATATAAATTATCATTATCCATAACCCGTACTATTAGTGCAATTACTTATTTGTAGATGCCTTATTTACAAAAACTAACAACAGCTTGCAAAGATAAACTTACCTGACGTTCTTTAAAGCAATATTTCAATATAAAATCAACAAATTTACTAAAATCTAGTAACAAAGCAGTAGCATAACAAAATCACTGGCACCAAACATATTAAACAGTGGATTTATCTGGTTTTATCATTGAACAAATTAGGGATGTGACTTATCGTAGAATGGGGTGAATAGGAACACGTTTTGGACTTCAACTAGCTGTAGAATAAAACTGTTTAAGTTCATGAAACTTTTTGAATACATACTAACCAAACTGATGGTGTGCGATTATATTTGGTGTTGTGGGTGTAAGAGACTAAAGAACCCTGAGATTTTGTAAGTATCTTATGCCGACCATGCGAAATAACTTGACTGATCTATGACAAACAAATTAGATTTATTTGACTTGTCACTACCCTTTTTTCTACTAGACTTCATTTCCTTTTAATTTTTTCTATGACTGAAATTCTACAAACAAATTTTCGTTACTAATTAGCTCATAAAATTTGCCAGTAACAGAATCTTGAATAATTCGCAAACTGTTTTTCTTCCTTAAATACTTCAAACTATCAAAAAGTTAAAAACAAGGACACCAATGAAAATTTCTGTGACTTTTAGGTTTCTCTTCGTGTATAAGTCTGATGTGTTTCTTCAAATTAGAAGGTCTACTGAATTTTTTATCACAAATAATACAAGATTTTCCATCGTCTAAAAAGTTTTCAATTTATTATAAAAAAAATTACTATAAATTGAAATCTTTGAATTTGTGTGATATAAATGTATTTTTTGTGGTCAATTCTTCTAAATTATTTTGAAATATCTTTTCAATGTTGAAAATTAGTTCTACAAATTCATGATTTGGCATTTACAGATTTCCCAATGTATCTAAATTGTCGTTATCAAATGCCTTTTAAAAAGCAATAAAAAGAAGAACCATCTAATTTATCATGATCTTTGCTATATTTAAGATAGGTATCACAGGAGTGGATCCGCAAGGCGTACCTAATAAAAAATTTCTGTAGCAACTCGTCCTCACAATTATCTTGGGTGTTGATAATTTCATCAGTTCAATCCTTGACTGTAGCGTTTTCCTCTTCAGATGCAGAGAAATCTTTAGGGTCGGGAAGCCTTAATAGTATTTTATCTGAATTTCCCTCACAGTTTTCGGTACCCGAACTAATAAGATTAAGGCACTGCAATTGCCTAAACGTTCTATAAAACTGTATGGGTATCGGGTTAATGCAGTTTCCATTTTCACTTCTAATTTTATCAAAGTGATTCTCCAAACAATCTTGATATAATCTTCTTGTCAGAAAATAATTAAATTTAGCAGTATTACGAAGAAAATTAAATAAATTTATAATACTGTTTATTGAAATTTTCAGGCTATTGGTAATTTTTGTCTTTACTTCAAGTTTATTAAGAAGTGTCAAGTATTCTAATATGAATTCCAATTGAAATGGTTCGCCTTTAAAAGCAACATTATATTTTTATGGAGAAAAAGGTTCTGATGAGTTTAAAAAATCAAACAGCTGATCTATTAACTGAACAAACTCAGCAGTTTCATAAGCTTCTGCGGAAAGGTAGTCGAATCTTATATAAAAAGGCATAACTACAAGAACTGAATAAATGCGTGGCTAGTTTCATTTTCATTTTTTGAAAATTAGTAGGGTAAATATGCGAATCTGTCAATTTGGGTGCTGCTTTTACCTGTTTTATCTAGTTCATAAACCTCTTTTATTTATTATCACGAAATTATTTTTTCACCAATTAAAAGGTTATACTTCATTAGCATATTTCTCAGTGCCTTTACAATATGTGGTACATTAAATATGTAAAATACATGGCGATTTTTTAAATAGAAACCTGTATTTTCTGAAGAAACATTTAACATATTCGACAGTTTATATTATTGGAACCCATATCAGAGGTAACTGGACAAACTTTTAATCCAAAAGTTTCCCCTATCATTACACTTGTCCCATCGGCCGCAAAATCTATCATATTATCCTTAAGTAGAATGTTTTATTATTGCAAAAAACTTTAAAATATCGGTATAGAGGGCTTCGAATAACCTAACTACCATAGCTAAAAGTCTCCCCTATCGGTCGATTCGTCTACTATAAGAGAAAATTGTGTGTGTAAACTCTAAAGTATTGAAAGCGATTTTGTGTTCTACTGCAAAAACTGCTAATCTAATTTCGGCTTTATTGACTTTTTGCTGCATGATGGTCCTCTGCTGTAATGTTGGCATCTCAATTAGGAACAATACGTAGTCAGTCAAGCTTTAAATCTAGTGTCTTCTTCCCACTTCGGATTGTAATTTTGTCCATAATTCATTTTTTTTTTTCTTTAAAATCGGTGTTAGCTCAGGCTTAGTGTTTTTTTTTTTTCAGAATTAGATAACGATAAAGTCTGCTTGCATATTTACTTTTCTAAAAAAACTAATGCTATATTAGTCACATTCGGTAAGCTGTAAGTATACATGCAATATTTTGCCAAAATATTCTACCATTAATTTGTTTTATTTTGTGAATAGAAATTTACCTACCTTCTGTATACAAACACTGGTAAACATAAATGAACAATCAGAAAAATACGTGAAAAGATTTTACACGTATAGTCGTAATTATTCTGATGTAAAATACCAGCAAACCGAGGTCTGACGATTTACCAACGGAGTTTTTCTTTGTTTAATTTTGTGAGTAAAGTTTATATAGTAAATTCGACCAGCTTGAGATTCTGAGGTACCAACAGTAAATCGGACTGTCGTTTTTGCCAAGGGTAAATCGTTTTCTAATAATTTTTTTAGTGATTGCAGATTTCCCTCAGACTTAAGGAAATTTTCCTAGCAAAATAATTCTGATGTTAGTAAAACTGTTAAAACATGTTGACATGCATAATTTATTTTCATTCCTAATAGGAGTTTTATTCATTTTTTTATATAGTATTTCATGTAGAGCAATTAACCATGTGTAAAAAATATTACAACTGTTTTTCTAGAAATTAAAAAGATTTAATTTTAATTTCATTAATGTCAGTAACAGTTGATCAAAAACAAAAAAAAAAAACAAACAAAAAAACAAAAAAAAACAGAAAACAATCCCGTTCTGAACAGAATTGATTGACATTTGATCACAACATGAACTTCAATAATTTATTTCAAAGGATAATTTGATGTTGTACAAAGAATATCCATTCACAGTAAGTGTTCAAAATGTTCACCACCAGCTTCAAAGCAAGCATTAACCCTTTTTTCGTGCTTTCGAACACATTATGCAGTTGCTCCTCGGTTACAGTTTCAATTTTATTAACTATTCATTTACATCATGCAAACGATTTCTGAATACTTTTTTTATGTGTCCAAATAAAAAGTAGTGTGAGGTCTGGAGATCTTGTTTGCCATATTCCTTTACTAATAATTCGGTCATCAAAATATTCTTCTATTAGGTCAATAGTAGCTCTAGCTGTATGAGCTATTGCTTCATCTTGTTGAAAATAATCATGTAGCTGTTCAACAAATTCAAGAAAAATATTTCTATATCGTTGGCCATTAATTATGACATAGAAAAATGTAGGCCCTATTCTTCTTCTTGAAATTGCTATCCAAATACCAAATTTTATGGGATGAAGACTTGTCTCCACAAATAAATGAGGATTTTCAGTTGCCCA